TATTATGATATTCTCTTTATATACTTGCCTTCATGTAAAGAATATGTTTTTGCAATGCTTTTGAAGCATTTTTATTTTTACGCCCAAGAGAATAATCGTGTAAAAGTTTTTTTTTCATTCTGTTGTCTATTCACCGGTAAGCTTTTTTTTATTCCATTCAAACTCCATTATTTGTCACTACCAGGCTTTATTGTATTTATTTTAAAGCAAACATTCTATGGATGTTACTTTCATAATCGATGCGGCAAATATATTTCTAGAACAATTCAACATTAGATGGTGGTTGCTCATTAAAGTTTTTCGTTTGAATATATCTTTTGTCTTGATCATTAGTCAAAGATGAAATCTATGCTCTAGATCTAAAACAAAGCATGTGAATACCTATTTAATTCATGAATTAATTATTCAATCATTTTATTTGTCTATCTCAAAATGTTATAATCTATAATTTTTTTTCTTCATTTTTGTAAAGCAATAGACATTATACTTCAATCTACATAGATAAAATTTTCAGAAACAAGATCTAAAAATATATTTAAAAACAAAAAAATCGAAAAAGCTGAGAAATAATGAAATAATTTCATACATTTATATTGAATTATGTTTAATTTTAATTGAAAGGTAATTGAATATAAAAAGCTGTAAACTTTATCAGTATATTTTTATTGAAATTTAGTTTGTCTTAGCAAGCTCTAGCCAGAAAAAAAGACAGAATCTTCAAGCTTATATTTATTTGAGTTATATTTTTTATCGATGTGTATTTGTCTTGGAATATGATCTAGCTCATAGAGAATATTTAAAGTATGAATAAATTATGTTGTTAGATTTTATTGAGTTATGTTTCAACCAAAAAACAATCAAGAACTTTTTAGCTTTGGTATTCCTTGTGATAGAATAACCAATGTCGTCTCTTAGAATGCGGTACTCAAAAAAAAGTAATATATAGATTTGTTTGTGCATAAAAATATTTTCGAACATAATTTTCTGATGTGGGGTGTGAGTGTTGTTATCAGTCACACCCACACCCTCGACGATGTGAACATATAAGCTACAAAGAAATCAATGTTCGAGACTAGTTGGCACAAAATGAGAATCGAGAACATTGACTTACTCGACGCTTCACTTTCATCATGTTGATGTCTGTCGATAAAGAGAGATGCTTTCCTTCTTATTCAATCATATATGATAATTCGATCATAGAAAAATACATCAAATATCATCTCACAAAAGAACTAGAGTTAGTTTTGAATTCAGTCAATAAATCATTATTGGAAGACATAATCGTTGGTAAAAGTACTTATAGATATTTCAAAAATCATCGCTGCTTAAAAGATATCTAAATGTGTTATTCAATCATGACAATTATATTAAATATTGTTCGTCATAACAGTATTGTCTTCGAATTAGAAACGTAGTTTTTATTCTTTCTTCAACTTTACAATTGATTTTGTTTGGAAAACTTTCACTGTGGTTGTTCGTTTTCAGTATTTTTCGACAATCTTTAATGCATACACTACTCTATTAGAAATATTTCTCGTTGAGAAATGTTGCCGAATGACATATTATTTTTACTTATGATTCACATACAAAGTTAAAAATAACTCATCAATTGAATGGGAATCGATTAGAACTATTCAATTGTTTTGTTCCTACGAATAAATGTAATAGATTATTACTCTGTCTTGTCTTCTGATCAATACTTTTGTTTTTTTTTTGAATATCTGATTTGACAAAAGAAAATTATTTGAAAGTGATCTAGACAATTATATGATTAGTTGCTATTTGACAGATGTATGAAGAATTATTATTTCCTATAATAAACACAATGGCATATAAAATATTAAGGGAAACAAAAATGTAAAAATACTTGAATTAATTGTATGATTCGTTACAATCGAAAATATGAAACATCGACGAAATTTTAATAATGATCGGTAAGAGAAGAAAAAGTAAATAAATGTGCAGTGATTGCAGTTAATTATTTTGATGATTTTGATATTCCAAACTACTGTTTTTTTATATAGTAATAAACACCAGCTGCAATAAGTCCAGAGATAATTACCAAGGTAACAATGACACCTGTTACAATCAACAGTAGATTTCTTTTCCTATCACTAAATAGTAAAATTCAAACTCATAATAAATTCAGAAAGTTTATTTAAATAAACGTGTTGTAATTTTTTTTTTATCAAAATTATTGAAACAATAGGAGAATTCTGATAATATGTGAAAATGACTTTTCTTAAAAGAGATAATACTTTTGTATAAACTAAATTTAAAAACATAATGTATATACATATATTGTAAAGAGAATTTTATATGATGCTTCCTGTTTAACTTTTAATAGTATTATAGAGCGAGCAATCAACATTCTGAGGATTAAAAAATTAAATATCTGCATTCTGCTCAAAGGTATTTTGCTGATTTTTTTATCAATGATACAGGAGTATCCAAAGTTTTTTTTATACGGAAATCGTTAATAAATACTGCTTTCATTTGTTGACATTCGTTGAAATACAGTAATGTAACATTTTATACCTATATAAAACAGTATAGACAGTTTCATTTATGCGTGGATTGTTCTTTTTCCGGCGGATATACTCGATCATCTAACTCGTTCTGTGACTTGGGCTAAACGTTTCTTTTCTTACCATACACCAACCATATGTACAGTTTTCTCACACTGAACTAGATGTGAATCTTCCATTCTTCCATACTCGCATCCACACTATGAAAGACTGCAACGATGAGGTGATTCTAATGAAGATTATTTTGACTTTTTGAGTGAAGGTTATCTTGACTTGACTTGTTGCTATCTGACATTACAATCATATAAATATACATGAGTTTTCCTGCACTTCTTTATTTTCTGAACCAGTGGACCTTTACAATACGTATTGAAATGATTGTCAACAATGGAAAGCAGTGTTCAGTAACAATTCTCTTATTAAAAAAGACAAAGCTTTAAACATTTCTCTATGATTAATAAAAGAATCAGCTCAATACATTCGAACAGAATGAATGTATTCAAGTTATTTATGGTGAAGATGTATAAGTTCACACCTTGTATATTTACTGGTTGATTTCTTGTTATTTCCAACAGAATTCATACTTTTCTATCAGTTTGAAGTAATGCATAACGGCTGATAACGTTCTACATGTTGTTATCGGCGTCAAAATAAAATGTACCTCGATATTTTTTGAATATCTCAAGAATGAAATTAGCTAGAAGCCTGTGGTTTTCATCATCCCAAAAAGAAATGAAACTTTGCTGAATTAAATGAACTATGGATTGACGAAGCTGGTGAGTTTTTCTTGTAGATTTTGACTAGAAGTTTTCGAAAAGACTGTCTGACCTAACCATGAATTCCAATATTAGGAATTAATAGCAAAGACATTTCCCCTGTCGATCTATAGAAGACCGACCCTTCTAGCTTGTTCGATTCAGAGAGGTTATAAGTGTTTTACTAGAAAGCTTGAAATTGACTAACTGACTACTGGTCACTCTAAACTGTTTTGAGCTTAGATTGTTTGTCTATCAAGACAAGATCTTGAAAATACTTCCTCTAACACTAAAAGTTTTGCATCGATTGAATTAAAAAAGTCATGATTTAGGAACTTATGATCATATTGAAACTAGAAACAAATACTACCATTGAACTCAGGATGGAAGAATACGCCAAACTTAATACAGTTTAGAGTGATCAATGGTCAGTTGGCCAATTTCACGGCTTTTAGTAAAATGCTTGTAACTTCTAAATGGTATAAGCTAGAAAAGTTGGCCTTGCGTAGATCGACAGAAAAATATCTTTGCTATCGATTTCCTATATTGGAATTCATTGTTAATGGAGAAAGAACGACGAGTGCGTTACTGTAGTGTTGTGATGATAAGTCTTTCTCGAAACAAACTTCCAGAGAAAATATCTGACCATCGTAAGGTCTGTTGTCTCAGCTACAGAGTAAAAAAACATTTCATTCTAAGCGAGAAACTTTTGAAAAGTGTGGGCTGCTTTGAATCATTTTGATGTAAGGAATCCTTTTGGGTGAGTATGCTACGACGACTTTCTATCTTTCTAGAGTCTTTACAGTTCGATCAAATGCAATGAAAACTTTACTGCAACTAGAAGTTACATATATCTAGATGCAGTGCAAGTTTCAGTTCTTTGTCGCTTTAATTTATTGAGTTACGGCCATCCGAAAGTATAAAATGGGTGAGTGCGTTATCTGTGGACAAGCTGTATAATTCACATTCGGATAAGCTCTTTTGTTTTAACTATTATGAATCTTTTTTTTCGTGAAATTTCAGTTCTCAATAGAGGAGACACAGAAAAAACAGCTGGATATAAAGCCAAAGGAATGCCTGAAAAAAAAGACATTTTTTTCATTTAATAGAAGGCTTTGAATACTGAATATATTGATACTCGTAATCATTGCATTTGACTGTATCAATATATAGGCTACAATGGAAGAAAAGATAAAAAGTTTTCTCGAGACTTCCGTTGAGCGGAGTTGATGGCACAAGTTCTGAACAACCTTTAGTTAGCTGTACAAAACTAATATGTGTAACACTATCAGTCGTCACGCATTACTTCAAAACGATAAAAACATGGCAACTTTGTTAGAGGCAGAAAAAATAACCTTAGCTGTCGTCATCCTATGAATATGTTCGAATAATTGGTTATTTTATCTCTGGCAATATTTCGATATTTTCAGCATCAGTTAATATATATTTGTTACAATTTCAAGCAAAACCTTTGCATTAGTGGTAAAGCGTCAAATATCTTTTCAAATCGATAGTGATAATGAATGAGATTGCAAAAAATTGATAGAAGCGACTTATTACCAAATATTCAACTCGATTGTTTTTTTCATTCCAGATAATAAATAATTTTTAATCTATCTAACAACTTACAAAGAAATATCCCGATCGCCCTTTTCTTATTTAAGAAAAATGAAGGAGATCCTTTTCGCAACTCTAGCCTGAATTAATCGATATTGAATTAATTCATAAATGGTTGAAGACAAGTATTAACTAGTGCTGAAAATGTTTTAAATAATGTTGACTTTTAGATAACTGCAAAGAAAATCGAAAATATTCCATGTAAGTGAAAACATCAAATAGTTGAATCATAATTTAAACATAAAAATGACACTTTTAAAGTGTGTAGTTTGAGAAGCTAGTATGAAAACATTAGCTATGAGAGCCAACTAAGACAATCATTTTTTAATTTTTATAAGTAGCTTTTCAGTTGTCTGTTTCTATTTGCTTCACTACCTTTTCTCGAGTCCTGCATTAACCACGCTTGATGATTGTTTCGAAGCTGTTGTTAATCTTGACGTTCTTATCGTTGACGATGTTCTTGTTGGTTTTGATGCTTTTGTTGTTGTTTTTGATGTCGTTTTTAGTTTTGATGTTGTTGTGGTTGGTTTTGATGTTGTTGTGGTTGGTTTTGATGTTGTTGTCGATTTTGATGTCGTCACTGTTCCTTTTAATGTTGTTGGGAGAACTGCTAGTATTAGAAATATTTCAATAATCTTTATTTTAAATTAACATTTCGAAGCTTTTTCTCAATTGTTCCCCTATCGATTTTATTCATCAGTCAAATCCTATTCCTCACTTGTTTTCAATTCTTTCCGTTGAAAAAGGACAAAACGCTTTCAAACTAATTGACTTACCACCAGAAGTAGCTTCGATTTCTTCGATATTTATTTCAGCTAATCCTTTATATATTGTACTGATCTTGTTGTTAATAACCTTGAATTTGGTAGCGGGCAATAAAATCGATTCGGCTTCACCAGTAAATTGGGAAAAATCTGCTATGTCTCTTGCTGACGAAGATTGAATCGTGAACAAAGTACTATTGTAGACTCCATAGGGATTTGCTTTCAAAAAATTCATACATACACTTGTTTTTGAGGATAGTGATGAGACACCCCACTATTAAGCAGATAAAACATAGTAAATTAGTATATATAGATTTTCAAAAAGAAAAGTATTATTTTTTTTTCTGTGCTAATTATTTCAACTCAGATATACATATCATATTAAATTATTTTTTTAAATCAAGATCACTTCTTCTTTTATTCATTCAAATAAAGTTCTTCAATTACTTTACATACCCAAGTCACAATAGAACCAACTGGATAAAGAGAATTGAGATTTCCATTTATTCCACGACAATATGTTCCTTTCTTTGGAGTTAGTTTGCTGATAGCAATGTTGAAAAGTTTCAAGTAAGGAAACCAAGGTTCAATATTCTTCAATTCTTCAGTACGAAGTGCTGCATTGAGAAGTTTATAAACCGGACATTCAATAGTATATAATCTTATTGCAGCAGCGTCTTCCTTTGTCAATCCTTTTTTTGCACTAGAACTTACAATAGACGAATCAACACAGCTCGGTAGAACTGTTGAGAAGTCTGGTACACGTCGAATAGCTTCTTTGAGAGAAAGATTTGGAACTTTCATATAAGTTGATCGAAGATTCTCAGCGGTCAGTGGTTCACATATTGTCTAAGAATATCAAAAAAAAAAGAATTTTTTGTTTACCATTCATAGTCAAAAATACATAAAACAAAGATCAATGCATCTATACATTAATTTCAAAATTAACTTGCACTGGATTTCAACGATTTCTGTGAACCTGACAATATTTATATAGCCTCGACTTAAAGAAAAAAACCACAAGTTTTTCTCCTGAGAAATTCTTCTAAAAGTCACTACTTTTTAATGAAAGAATCTTTTTGTCATTCAATTTTTACTAGAGTGACAAAACATAAAAACAATAAGTTGATTTCTGCGATAACTCTATCATAAATAATTATGGTTTAGAATCAACAATAACATCAAATAAATCGATGAATAACATCTTTGAGTATTATTCTATGATTTACCTGTTTTGAATTTCATTTCATAGTGTGAATACGAAATTGTAAAAGTTTTTTTTATCATAGATAAATGAATAGGTGATTTATCTCAATCAGTATGTAAAGATGTTCAACACTACTTAATAAACAATCCTAACTATTGAAAACGTAATTCATGACTCTTTCATGAATCGAGTATTAACTATTTTATTTCTCTGAATAGCTCAGAACATCTTTGTCTGGTTTTTGTTTTTTAATTGAAACAAGTCAAATATTTTTTCAAATCTATACTGATAAAGAATAATGTGTCAGAAAATTAAACGAAGCAACTGACGATGGAATATTTTCAACTTTCCACTTGCTCTCGCTTGAGACTATTGGCATTCGATCAGGCATGATAAACAAGAAAAAAGTCGGTTTTCGTTTGGTTTTCCGATATTTGCATGTTGATTAATTGGCGTTTTGATCAAATAAACAATCGCTCAAAACCTGAATAATCGAATTTCAATCTGAAATTTTGTCCACATATGAGCTTTACAGTAAGTAAACACACCTCAAAATTTCAGCTTGAAATACAATCGTTCAGAGTCTCAGCGATCCTATGTTCATCAGACGCAAATCTAGTAAAACACACATAAATCAACATGCGAAGATCGAAAAATCAAACTAAAACAGACTTTTTCATGGTTCATCATGACCGATTGAATGCCAATTGTCTCAAGAGAAAAGCGAACGAACAATTAGAAATGTTTTCTCGTCAGTGTAAAAGATTTTACATGAAAAATTCAGCCGATTCATTGACAGTTATTAAGAGAACTTCCATGAACTGATCGAGCATCACTTCCATATACGAGGCACTTGATAAAATTTTTTTTTTCGATTTTTTTTCTCGTTCAAAACTTCAATGTCTAAAACTACTAACCTTAAAATTTTAGGTTCTAATACCCTTCCTATGAAACGTTAGTCAATACTGACTTTTAGAACTATCACACCTTTTTTGACGAAAAAGAGAGGAAAAATATCCTATAAAAGAGGTACCAGCATACATTTCAACAGATTGTTGAAAATTTTCACGGTATACATAAGAAGATTGAGAATTAAAAGCTGAACAGAATATTTGGTCAGTAAGATAGATGATCAGTAAAAAGTATATAAACGATCAGTATAAAGATTAAATGATTAGTACTGAAATTTTTAGTCTTCTCTCCACAGAATAGAAGCCCACCCTCCGAAATCAGCACGGGGTGATTTCCATGGTTTCGGAATTCATGAGGAATCCATGGAGAATTCGTAGAGAATCTATGAGAACTCATGGAAATCCAATTCGACAGCAAGAAACTGCAACTAGAGTCGCTATTAGCCGCGTCCAATATGGCTTGATTGATGCAGCTACACGGTGTTTCACACAAGGCACATTTCCGCATGTGGGTACTTCGGAACAGCTTATTGTTTAAGATCATATGGATTTCCCATTGATTCCTTATAAATTCCGAACTCATAGAAATCACCCAGTACTGATTTCAGGGGTGGACTTCTATTCTATGGAGAGAACACTGAAAATGTCAGTACTGATCATTTAATCTTTATACTGATCATTTTACATACTTTTTACTGATCATTTCATCTATGTTACTGATCACTTAAATCATAGCCATAGAAAAATGACGTTTCAAAGTAAATCTTCTGAGACACTACTCATAGATCCTCTTGTTTTAAATGCTTGCATGTACTATTGTAAGAATAAAATTGTCGAAAATATTACTACTATTCCTTTTCATAACTATGAAATAGAATACTATTGAGACGATTAATATCGTAATTTTCACTAATGAATCTCATCAGTAACTATTGTTCAAGTGAAATAGACTGATGTTTAGATAATGCTTAGAATAGTTGAATCAATCAAATATTGAATATTTTTATTGGAAATTCATTTCAAATTGATTTTCATTGTATATTATCTTCAGTAGCATGATGTAGCATGTTGATAAATTGCGCTGTTGTTATTGAAGTTGTCAAATTTAGTTAAAATGTACCTGTACAAAAAAAAATAAAAATAAAAAATGGGAATAGTTTTTAGATAAAATCAAGCTTCTTTCAAATATTTCGTAAAATGATAAAACTAACGTGAGTCGTTGAATATTTTTTGTAATTGGATCGATAATAGATAAGAATTGTCTTTTCAAACTATTTATGCCAATCAACTAATAGCAATCGAGAATGAAACTCTGAACTTTATTTGGTTTCTCTTTTTCTGTGGTCTCAATTACTCAATTATTTGAGTTTTATTCATTTCAACAAAAACAACTATTCCATCTTCTTTTAAATTATATTCTAAATAGTAATATTTCTATCGATCATAATCATTTGTTTTTTTATTTGTAGACTTTTTTGTAACGAACGAACTATATTAAGAAATAGATGTTTCTTTAATCATGTAAGTGTAAAATTCGGACGAACGAATTTGATAGTTTTTATTCTTTAGTTATCTTCTTCGAAAGAACATAATTTTTACATAAACATGTATTTTAACGGATTGTGTAAAGGTATCTTAACAAATTTTCCTAAGTTTCATAGAAGAAAAAAAAACTTTGGCAATATATGAGAGAAACTCATTAAATGAATTCTCAAAGACACTTTATTGTAGTTAATTACTTTGCTTTCATTTCAAAGAGCATGTCGAGGTACAAGGCATCAAAGAGCACTTAGTCATAATTAAGTTTTTTTTTTTATTAAATATGTAAACATTTCTATAAATAGATGCTCATACGAAGAGAGCTCTTCTGAATCATCAAACTTGCCACTTTTACTCTGTATATAAAAAGTAAGAATTTTAGAGTAACAGAGTTTTGTGCTGTCCTACATCTGGATATGCTCTTTCAAACAAAGATAAATTAAATATCTTGAATTATGGTATTGACGAAAAATTTTCCAATTGCCTCTTCAACAGATTCTGAAACTTACGCGCGATTGAAACGTACCTAGCACGAAAATCGGTTTCTATCGAAAGGCCTTGAAAATTATATTCGCTCAATTGACAATGTTTTCTGTGAGTTCTCCTTGAGATTTGAAAATGTGTTAAATAATTTTTAGATAAAACATTCTGTGCATACGTCGAATCGAAAACATTTTCGAAAACTCTGAAGTGATACATTTCGCATTCTCAAGTTAAACTTTTAGTTCATTGAAGATTCGTACTTAAAAATTCAATTCGAATTCGTTGATAAATAAAAGTTTCACGCATTTATAACTTGGATTTTTTTCAAATTATGATCTCAATTGACAATTAAATATCAGATTAGCATTAAAAAGGTCGAACGAAAATATGACTCAAAATAAACATTGACGAGTAAAATAAAGAAAAAAAAAAGATTCAAAAAATAAATCTCACGCAATGGTCATTGAAGAAAAACTATTGGCCATAGAAAACGTCGAAAATTTCACAATATCGCCATGAACCAATATTGATATCACACACTCTCAAATTTATCTATCTCAGTACATAATTTTTGATTATATCATTGTCCTATCATGAGTTTCCTTTGTACGACAATGTGCAGTGTAGCTAATCAACTATCCAAGATACTTTCATAGCTGCATATTGATCATATTGATATTTGCCGATAAAGAGAAAAGGTTTGCCTTCTTATACAACTGTATATGATAATTCGATCATAGGAAAATCTATCAAACATCAACTCACGATAGAAATAGATTTAGTTTTGAACTTAATAAATCATTATCACAAGACATAATCGTTGCTAAAAGTACTTACAGATATTCCAAAAATCATTGATATTGGAGAGATATCTAAATGTGTTATTCGATCACGACAATTCTGTTAAATATTGGTTGTCATAACAGTGTTGTCTGCGAATGTGAAACTTATTTTTCGTAAACAATCTATTCTATTTCTAAATTATAGATCTTGAAAAAAAAATCGATATTTTTTCATTATAGAACTAATAACTAAGGAAGAAAAATGTAATAGGATTAATTTTTATTCATCTTTCAATTAGTTTTGAATAAAAAGAAAAGCGTTCTCACAGTGTGACATTTGATCAAATGAGACTAGCCCATTAATCACATCAGTGTATAATTTCTGAGTCAGTGTTTTTTGTGTTTTCTTCATATTTACAATTCATTTTGTTTGGAAAACTTTCATTGTGACTGTTCGCTTTCAGTATTTTTCAACAACATAGAATACATATTCCACTCTATTCGCAATATTTCTCGTAGACAAATATTACCGAATGAAATTTTGTTTTTATTGATGATTCACACACACAAAGTTAAAAATGATCTATCAATTGAATGAGAATTGATTGGAACTATTCAATTGTTGTTTGTACGCAGAAATACAATAGACTATGACTTAGTCTTGTCTTCTAATCGATACTTTTCTTTGTTTCGAATCTCTGATTTAACAAAAGAAAATTATTTGAAAGTAATCTTGATAGATATATTAAGAATTATCATTTCCTATAATGAAAATGATAACATGTAATACAGTAAGGGAAATAAAAATGTAAAAAAGACCTACATTAATTGTATGACTAATTGTAATTAAAAATATGAAGTATCGACGAACTTTTAATCATG